CTAATTACTGCAAATTGAAACTAATTAAGCCTCTCTTCCCTTTCCCATCACCCTGGGAGCATTGGCGAGACCCAGCCTCCGAGGGCGGGCTTCCTCCAAGCGGTCACCCGAGGGGCGCAGGCAGCCCGGGGGAGGGCGAAGTGACCGCTTCCCGCCGGGGCGGGGTACGCCGAGGTGGCATAGACTGCGAATCAGTTTGGGCCTCTTCGTGAAATCCGAGTTGTTTAGATTTTTTTAAATTTCTACATTTCCCAATGCCTAGATAAGTGATGCAATGACATCTGTCGAGTTAAGATCTGCCACTTGGATACCCCTCGCTGCCTTTCCATCACTGTTTCTACGTTTTCTCCCTCTCTCTCCTTCTCTCTCCCTCTCTCTCTTTCTCTAACACATCCCACCCTCCCTCCTCCCCACGAGGATACTTTGGAGCCCGCCCCCTCGGAAGCAAGGGCCTCAGCTTCTCGCTCTCGCCAGTACCTGTCATCTCGGACTGCGCACTTCCTTGCTACGTGGCACTTTCCACAAAGAGCTGCTTTCGCCTTCAGAGCCAAGCCTCCCGCTCTCTTCAAATCCACGACTCCACCGTCTACAACGCCTACCCATCCACCCACCCACCTTCGAACCCACCCCACCTGTGCGGCCCAGCACCCTCAGTTCTCGCTGCGACACGACCTGGAGGAGCCGAGAGGCGAGTGGAAGGTTCCTGGGCAGCGCTCTGAACCTTTGGAGGAAGCCTGGACCCCTGTGAGAACCGGATTCAAACAAGGACCTCCACCAGGAAGACTCGCGCGACAGCACGTGAATCCAGAAGTTGCGGGCCGCCGGGAGCGCGCCCCTGGCTTCCGGCCTCCTTCTACGGGTCCCTCAGTGCCTGCATGGAGCATTCACACTTCCTTTTGTTAAACATATAATTTTTTTTTTATTTTGAGCGTGACACTTCTCCACTAGATAGCAAGGAAAAGTGATAACAAGTACACATTACACAAAAGTACTGTACCATTGCCTTTATCTGGAAGGTTTCAGAAGCCTCTACAGTTAATAAGTTAAATAAAGGGCTTGAGTACATAAATATTTGTCTAGGAACCCTACCGTATCTACAACACAGTAAGAATCTACAGGAGGACAAACTTTGACCATACCACGCTGAGTGCAATTGCGTTATAACATTTCAAATATACAAAGCTCTGTTCTTTTTTTTTTTTTTTTTTTAATAACAATGGTATGTACAGAATCAATAATCACAGTTTGGTGACTTCAACAGTCCATATTCTAGCAGAGTATTTCCCTTTGGTTTGATATAAAAACCTTGGTTGGTGTATGATAAAGAAGAGAACAAGAACAAGACGCCCCTTTCCGTTAAGTGCACTGTTAGCTATCTTACAGGGTCCCATTCGCTTCCTGGCCCGGGCTTCACGCCGGGGGCCCAAGCTGGGGAGATCAACTAGAGCGCCAAAATGCTATTAAAAAAAATAATAATAATAAGGTGGGGGTGGTCAGGAGGAAGAGAAGCTGGGCTTTTAGAATGTATAACTTCAATCTCAGGCGTCTAGGGGAGAAAGTCTCCCCAATATTTTCAGTAAAGTGAGAGCAGGAGAGAGTGGACGCTCGAGCTGGAGCGAGGTTGGCAGGGGCAGGGGCAGGCGGACAGCCAGCCGAGGAGGTGCCACGTCTGGGAACGCTGAGGGCTGCCTTGCCCACGTCCAGGCTGCTGCTGCGAAGGCGTTTGCGCTCGGTCGCTCAGTGCCGTCTCGGGAGTGTGCTGGTCCTCTGTTTCCATTTGGTCTTGAGTGGTGCTGAGTGAGGTGACCTTTCGGGGCGCGCCGGCGGGGCGCGGGGCAGAGGGCGGCCTTTAGCACACCTCCTTGCCCGTGCTGGTGCCCGGCAGGATGTTGAGCTGCGTCAGCTGCGCGGCGTGCTCCTTGGCCTTGAGCCGCAGCGCGGCTATGCTGGACGCGCGTCTGTCTGCGGCCGCAGTGGCTGGGTCGGCCAGGGCGCCCGACGCCACCGCGCCTTCCACGGCCGGCGTGGGCTGTCGCAGGAGCGCGGCCGCGGTCGAAGCGCTGGTCAGGGGAGCCATGGTGGAAAAGAGCCTGCGGGGAGAGCAAACAGCGCGGTCACGGCCCCCGGAGCAGAGGGCAGCGCCGCATGGGCTGCCGCCTCTCCCTAGGGGCGCAAGGCGCGCAGACGGCGAGGCCGCAAGGGCCCGGCAACCAGCCTGGACAGCTGCGGGCCAAGGCGCCGTCGGAGCGAGGACGCGAGGCTGGGCGCGCGGAGCGGGCTTCCCCCGGGGCCGGGAATTGGCGGAAAACAAGGTCAAGGGCCAGATGTTCCCGGGGGCGGGGGGAGGAGATTGGCTGCAGACAGGCCCCGCGCGCCGCCACAATCGGCCCAATCGCGTGGCTTCTGTGATTTCGCTCAAAAAGGGGGGAATGCAAGGCCAGGATCTCCGATTGCCTGAAATACCATTTGCTAAGAAAGAAGATGGAGAGACAAAAAGAGAAACAGAGATGGGGGAGAGAGAGGCTGGAGGAAGGAAGGAGGAAAGGAGAAAGTGGGGTAAAAACAGCCCAGGCCCCATGCTGCGGACTTCGAACCCCCTCCCAGGCGCCTTCTCAACCCCGGACTCCGTCGGCCCTGAAACAGCCGCCTAGTTGGCTTGCCTCCCTGCGACCGAGCGCCGCCGCCGTCGCCCTCCGCGCCGTGCCCGCGGGGTGAGGGTAGGGGCGCCCGCCTGTTGATTTCTG